GGTAGTGTAAAGAGGAGCACATATCTATAGTGAATATTGTTTTTTGATTCAATAAACTAGTGAGCCCGACGGCCAAACTTATAAGAGCAGCCATAAAATTTTCTCATGTCATTTCAGTCAATGAGACAAAGTACCTCCAAATAAGAGAACAGCCATATTCTTGTAATAGGCGCGCTAAACCTTAGAGTACTCACTTTTAACAGATCGAATCCACATTTTATTTTGAATTAATTGAATTGTTCTTCGAAACTCATCGGATCAAATCACATGAAGACAAACTCCTTATGATTTTAAAATATCTTCCGGATGATATAGCCAACCTTACCAATATTTCCCCTGTAATAGACAGGTGCAGGATTGCTATGAGAAGCTCAGGCAGAAATTCATTGGACTCACTACTTCTTCAGAACAACTAAGATTGGGATATTTCTTAGAGGCAAAGGCTTTAGGGGATTTGAAATTAGCAGTCCTTTTAGCTCGCTTACGGCAACCTTCCGGTTCTGATCCTCAAGTGAAACCCATATTGTGTCACGTATGGATAAAAAAAACTCCCTGTCGAAGTCCAGATTGCCTTAAAAACTGTAAGTGGCCAAACTTTGGTAGAGACAGTTAAGACCGCGGATGACGTGATAGAAGTAATAAATCAACGGGTGCATTCTGTTACCACAATCTAAGACAAGCGCACACTCACATTTGAGACAGCCATGGCAAGGATGCTAGAGACATTAAAAGCTATGAAATAAAAGTTTCAGGAGCTTCATCTATCCTTGAATTCTAGGGCAAAATCGCCTCCAATGCATCGTCGCCTAAGATCGGAAAGATGGTGTTGGAATTACCAAGGTCTCGCATTTCGAGCACGAGGCTGTGTTCTTCTTTGTTCTTGGAGAGCTGACCAGAAGTATGCTAAAAAGCACCACTTTTGGCAAACTAAGGGCCCGACAGGTCTCGAAGCTTATCTGTGCGAAAGTAACACCTGATTGTCATCTTCATTTCGTATAGGATAGAAGAACAAATATGAAATATCTAATCGACACGGGAGCCCAAGTTAGTTTAATTTATCCTGCAGAGATCGAAGAGAACGCCAATATCTTCTACCTTCTTTGGTCGCCGCCAATAAAACAGAAATTAAGACATTCGGTACCAAAGAAATGTACATAGATTTGGGTTTCAGAAGGTTGCTTAATTATACTTTCGTTGTAGCGAATCTACCTTTCGCTATCATTGGAATTGATTTTCTCAAAAAAATAGACTTTGCGCGAATCCTGCCAATAACAAACTCGTGGATGCATTATCCAATCACTTGATATATGCCAAAGAGAGGTGCAACTAACCATAAAGTAATGCATCACATCGAGACAACCGGTCGCCCAATTTACCACCGACTTCGTCAAATGGCATGGACAAGCTGAAGGCAGTCATACGTATGTTCAATGATCTTATACATGCTGCTATTATTGGTAAGTCAAAGATTACATAGGCGTCTCCACTTCATTTGGTCCAAAAGAAAGGTAAGAGCGAATGGAGGCCTTGTGGTGATTTCAGAAGGCTCAATGCTGTAATGGTCCCAGATAGATATCCTTTCCTACGTGTCATTGACGTGGCCTTAGCCCTAAATAGCAAAACATTTCATCCAAAGTTGACCCTGTGAATCTAGATCATATAGACAAGACGGCCGTCCTCCCATTTTTCGGTTTGTTCGAATTTAACAGGATGCCTTTTGGACTTACAAACGCCACACAGATGTTTTAAAGACTAATGGACGAGGTTGCTCGTGATTTATAGGGAGTTTTTGTCTACTTTGACGACATACTGATTGCTAGTGGCGATAGGGTATAGCAAAAACTGCGCTTGGTTGCATTGTTTAAAAGACTATATCATCATTATCTGGGGATTTCCCCTGAAAAATGTGTTTTTGGCGTCGATTCCTTGACTTTCTTAGGACATCGTATTGATTCTCACGGCATGCTACCCAGTCAAGAGAGGGTTTTGAATATCGAAAATTTTTCGCTTCCACGCACAATAAAAGCTTTAAGAAATTTTCTCGGAATGGTAAATTTTTACTGTTTCTTCATTCTCAACTATGCAAACATGCTAAATTCTCTGGAGGAGTATCTAAAAACCCCGTAAAAGTACATTTCCCTATCTAAAGATATGCATTCCTTTTTCGAACACATTAAATCAGCCATAGCCGAAGTGACCATGTCAGCGCATCCAGATTGAGATGCTGATCTTTACCTCGTGACGGACGCCTCCGACCGGGCTGTGGGTGGTGCACTTTATTAGGTTCTTGATGGAGCTTCTCAGCCTCTCACTTTCTACTCTCGAACACTGATTCTAACTAAGCAGAGACACAGCACCTTTAGCCGCGAACATTTGGGGGTCTATTCATCAGTGAAATACTTCAAACGTATGCTAATTGGAAGACAATTATCACGTTTTAACTGATCACAAACCCTTGTGCAGAGCCTTTAAGAGCGCTTTAGACAAGTATTCCCCTCTCGAATTCTGCCAAATGGACTAAATCGCAGAATTCACCAACGATATGCGCTATGTAATAGAAGCAGACAACATTGCTGTAGGCACCCTTCCTCGCATTGACATGGTTTCTGTTGTATCTGACACAAAAAATGATTATCAAGCCATGGCAGAAGCACATGAACGGGAACTTAGTCAAATTACCGCTCATCAATGGCCAAAACTGACGATGGCGCAATTAGATATGCCTCATGGTGCCAAGATCTGGAGTGATTTTTCGACAGGAAAACATTGTCCTTTCGTTCCTCCCGCCATGCCGTTCATAGTTAGGTGCATCCAGAAAATTGATCACAAGCCGTTTTGTCTAGTCAGGAATGCAAGCAGACATCGTCAAGTTGACTAATGCCTGCCCAGTTTGCCAAAATAGTAAGGTGCGCAGGCGCACCAAAGCTCCTATTTGGAGTTTTGAGACACTTTTCGAGAGATTCAACCACATCCACATGGACATTATTGGCCCCTTCCGCCTTCTTAAGAATATCGATATCTCCTTACAATTATGGAGCGTTTACCGCGATGGCGAAATGCTGTTCCAATGCTAGACATGCAGGCAGAGATAGTTGCGAGAACCTTCGTCCCTCACTGGATTTCAAGGTTTGGTACACTGGCGACCATTACAACCGACAGATACTGGCAGTTCGAATCCGATCCTTTTGCCCAACTATCCAAATTATTAGGACCGAAAAGGATTAACATGTGCACCTACCACACGCAAGCGAACGGTTCGGTAGAATGCTTTCGCCGTTAGTTAAAAGCCTGTCTGAGATGCCAGAGGAACCCGGACAAGTGGACAGACAATTTGCCTTTAGTCCTTATAAGCATGCGGACCACGGTCAAAGCGGAAACCTATTGCATCCCACCAGAAATGGTTTACGGATGTCAGTTACTATTTCCTAATTATTTTGTTGCTCCTAACAACATTGGTGAACCACGCGCTGATTGCTTTATAAATTTGAACGATATGATGGAGAAACTACGCCGTATACTTTTTAGGCCGATTATCTGCAAATCGGAAGTGCTTAAAGACCTAATGACTTGAAAATACGTCTACGTAAGACACGACAAAGTATTTACACCACTGTCTGCACCATACAGTGGCCCCTTTCGCATCAGCTCTAGAGACGACAAACATTTTACTTTATTAATAAAAGACCATCGTGAAGTGGTAAGCATAGACAGACTCAAGCCTGCAAAAATCGACAAGCCAGAAGATATCCAAATAACAAAG